AATAAGAATGGCATTAAAAAAAAATAAAGAGAGAGAGATGGACGGCGGAGAGGCGCGGTTTCGTCCAATCATCCGACGAAACAAAAAGCTTCGGGATAAAAAAATACTGATTTTTATTCTGGCAGGTTATACCGAAGCGACCCTTTGTGACTCGTGCCACAGCTTGGGCAGATATTGCACGTCGCCGATGATATTGAATATTTAAATCGCATTGATATTCCGCGAGGGCGAGGGAGGGTGCGCGACAACGTCGAGTTAAAAATATGAAGTTTTTTCGGCGCGCCAGAACCCGATTTGAAAGATCGATCGGCGGCGTGATAACCAGAATCAGTCCCGTCCGTCGGCATCGATAGAGTCAACATCTTCCAAAGATATAAGTTAAACGTCGTATCGAGACGTTGACAGGTTCCCGATAATGACGCCCGATAGCTCGAATATATTAACTCGCCGAACGTCATTCTCATTCTTAATTGACGCCGAAAACGAACAGGTGATTCCCGTAAATTTCGCTATCACGCTTTCTTCCAGCTTTTCGAACACCTTACGCGGGATCGTCTAACGATTTTTATTTACGAGATCGTTTCTCGATGTCTCGAATGATACTAAATACAAGATAACGCATATCTCGCTCCGTGTTGCGTAATGGACAAGAAGAGTGCATAGTACTCGGGTCGTAAGACCATCAATTTCGCGATAGAGGCATTTTCGCCGCGATGCATCGATGCATCTGGAGAAGTACCACTGCGAATTCCTCTTCCTCTCTTGCCCTCTTGCTTTTCTCTCCCATTCTCTCCCATTTTAATCGCAATGTCACAGTCCGTCTTCCATCGGACTCGATCAATGATAGTAGCCTACATTCGTCGTGTGATCTTTTCCTCGCGTATGAGGAAGCGTACCTAAGCCATAAGCCCAATCTTTGCGTACACACATAAAAAGAGCCAGGCGCGTAGTCTTTCCCTCTCTCTGTCTCTGTCCTTCTCTCTCTCCTTCATTTCTCAGACGATAGAGGACAAGTCCTATTCCGTCCTTGTCGAACCGATAGGATGCTGCCAGGCTTCCTTCGCGTACAGTCGAGGCCCGAGATCAGAGTAGTAGGTTGTACAGGTATGCACACGGAGGGAGGGGGGGGAAGGTTTGGCCGGGGGCATTCCTGCGGCGTTGCCGCGTCTCTTACTCACCGTGCCCTGAGAGAGAAAGGAAGAAACGAGAGAGAGAGGAGGAAGGCAGCAGCCCGAGAGAAAGAGAAAGAGGGGGAGAGAGAGAGAGAAAAAGAGAAAGGAAGAGACAAGGAGCCGAAGGAGGAAGGAATAAAAGCGACGAGCTGGGCTCTCGCACGACCACGAGCGCAACTCGAACGAGTCTTTCTACCTTTTCGCGGAGGCAATCGAGTTTGCTCGGCAAGAGAGCACTGCTTCTCGCGAGACCCGTTCCCGGCTACTCTCGCTTCTCGCTCCCGATATCCCGATGTCGCTCCCGCATCGGGGAATCGCTAACTTCTTCCACGCTGAGACGTTCGAGAGCTTCGGAAGCTCGCGCGCGCGCGCGTGGTGCGATGAAAGACAGGATGAAGGATCCCGCTCTACGAGCGGGATTAGCTAAAATTTAATCAACGTCTCGGGCCACCCGAAGACAGCTGCACATCGAGTGGGCGGTATCGATTAATGCGTTTACGGTAAACGGATCAACGGAGAAGTTAGCGAGGGACGCAATTATAGGAGCGATGGGACTTCCGCGCTATCGCAATTCCGATTCGTTCGTCCATTTCTGATTTCGCGTTGGCTCTCGGCTAATGTCTGTTAACGTACAACGGAATCGAATGAAAGGAAGTTTCGAGCCTTGGGTGGGGTTTCATCGGGCTCTCTCCGGGCGATCGCATCGTCGGAGAGCAGAACGATGGACTCGCTTCTGAACGGTAAATGAGTTCGGGGCACGAGTGGACGGTGGTAGCGAATGTTCATGGGCCTTACTTCGAGAAAGTAATTGAATCTCGAACCGCCACATTACACGGGATTCGGTTCGTTTAAAATTCTCGAAAGATTTCGTTCGCGATCGAGAAGAAAAATCGAAGGCTAAGCTAGACATGATGGATCAGCTTCTTTTTGTTTATAGTAGCAAATTTAAATAAGTACTTCTTTAATTATTTGAATTCAAGCGAATTTAAATAGTATTTATAATGTTAAGAAAATAGATACATGCATTTATAAGTAACTGTCAATATTTTTTATATCGACGAGATTTTCTTTCGGTTCGAAAAAGATAAAAAACTGCTGAGCTAAATCGATCAGTTATCGTAGAGAGAGATCGGAGGCACGAGTGCAACTACGATTCTAGTAGTTAAGAATTCGATTTCGCGAGACGTCACGCACCGATGAAGAATTTTAAGTCCCGATATCTCGTGGCCCAGGCTCTTCCCGGAGCCGGCGGTGCTCGTACCTGTAAATTTGAAAGTTCGCGAACTAAAGTAATGGACGCGCATCTTAGGGATCACGAATGCGATCGAAGGATAAAGTTCGCAGATGTTAGCGACGACGGCAGCGACGACAGAAAGAAGAGGAGGAGAGGAGGGGAGGGCGAGAGGAAGAGAAGCGAGCTTCGCAAAGATATCGCGGGGCTAAGGATAACGAGGAGCTCGCGTTTCGTGCGAGTCGAGGGAAACAAAGTTAGCCGCTTCCATCGGCAGACACGGTCCACTGGGAACGGATCCTTGGCAAGTTCCATTAAACGCGTTACATATCGAGGAGAGGGAAGAAGAACTCTCGAGGGGCCACCGGAGAAACTTGCCGCGGGTACTCCGCGGTGGCCGCAATCGCAGGATGTAACCCGGAGATCTTGAAACCGAGTCGGTCCCGAAATTCGCCAGAAGCAAGGAACACGTGGTCGAATATTATCTAATCGATTATGTAAAAAAACAGCGCAGTTCTATAGCGCTAGAAGACACACACTTCTTTTAATATATATGATATAATTTATCAAATTATATAACATACTCCTGGACAAAAAATTAATGCATAATTTTTTTTCACTTTTTCTTTAAAATTTTTCGTTAAAATTTAAATATTGGCTAGAAAAAGTGAAAAAAAATTATGCGTTAATTTTATCCAGGAGTATATATATTGTGAAATTATATTCATACATTATAAATTTTATTTCCGTTTATTTAGGTCAAAAGTATATAATAGATATTTCGCAAAAAAATTAATATAGAAATTAAAATTTCCCTTCACACACATATGCATTTTCCATATTAATAGTTTCTCGTCTAAAATGTAAGGATTTCAGCCCCTCTTTTTATGCACCTTATTTTTCATAAAACGCCCTAAAATCGCATCGTATAAAATAAGACGGGATGCCGCGAGTCTGCTGGCCGAATTCGTGGAGGCGTCTCTACGTCTCGGGCAGCCGGCGCGCCGGACCGTCCCCAAAAGCGCGACGAAACGATCCCCTTTTAATCCCCGAACGCTAACTACCAGCACCTCGGACGATCTCGCAATTCGGAAGATTGGTCCGCATTACGAAATTATCGTTATTCCCCTCTACGAAAGGGGGGAATAAGAGGGGCCGCGGAGAGGGCGAGCCATCGAGATGCCCGAGGCGCCAGGCTTTTTTTCGGTTAAAATATGGAAAACGTTCCGGGTAGCCTGCGTGGATGATCTTCAGAAACGCATAATGGGACTGGAAGGCCAATCTTGGCTCCGTTAAATCACGTTCGCAACGATCGAGACGAGGGCAGTGCGCACAGAAGAATTCTTTATCCGAGCAAACAACATCCATCGCCTCGAGATACTGACTCGACGCTCATAAGAAAAAGGAGAAAAAAAACAAGGGGAGAAGAAAAAAGAAAATTAAAAGTGCCTTGCCGTGAATCTCGATGCGACGAGAAATTATATCGCGATTAAGGGTGGACAAGAGACAAAGCGCATGGTTGATGTAAATGGATCTGAAATTTCTTCCCGTCAATATACATATATTTGGCCTTGCGACTATACTTAAAGTAAAGTGTGTCCGAGGTATTTTAGGCTGGAAAAAATTACCGAGTAAAATATTTTGCTAATTTATAATGATGGCTCTTTCATAACCCTTATTAAAGCCACGATGTATAAAGCGCCGCGCTGTATTAATCACGATACGATATTAGAAGAAATGCTGAACAAGAGTTGGAGGCTTTTGTTTCATGAGAAAAAAAGGAGGACGGATTATATAAAATAATAGCCTAATGTGAGTTAAAGTAGACGAGGAACTCATAGCCGCCACGTGATCGGCCGCCAGAATATTCGTGTGGGTAAGTATAGCGGTGCGTACGTAATTAGTGTCGTGGCAATTTGGTCATTCTCTTTCTTTCTCTCTCTTTCCTTGGTATTCAGCGTCTCCGCGCAATAAATCACGTGCCGTGCCGTGCCGCACCGCGAAATTACGATTGGAGCGTCAGGAAACGTCGACTTGATGCGAGCTAACGTGTCCCTTACGTTCGCTTCTCCGTTAGTCGTCGAAAAAAGAATCGTACCAATGTCTTGGATCGAGAACAAAAGAGATATTCCGCATATTACTGTATTTATTTTCGCGGTATACATGTGCCATTACTTTCCATCGTGTCATATGCTCTGAAAAAAATTGCTCTCGCGTAATTGGAGGTATCTCGTATTATTTTTCTTTAGTGAATTGCGACATAATTAACGAGAGCTAAAAATATTTTAATTTAATAGAATAAAAGCCATCGCGTGGACAATACGGAGATAATTAAGTCATTTGCGCGATTAACAAACGGTTATCGAAAGACTCCATTTTCCCGAGACTACAGATCGATCGATCACGTGGCGGCAACAAGCATTTCGACTCAACCTCGATACATCTGGCTAAGTATACATCCAAGAATGGCAATTGGCGCGATATATCGCGACCCGGGGTGTCGCCGTGGACTATCATCTCGGCTTGATTAGCCCTACGTAAGTACGTAGACAGCAAGAGGTAGGGTAAAAGGTAGGGGGGAACGGACGAGCGCTTACCTTGATCCGCCTGGATCCCTCGCGGGCAGATTAGCAGCAGCAGCAACGGCAGAAGGTGGGCAGCGGAAGCAGCAACGGCGGCGCAGGTGGCTAGGAGGCCTGCTACGCCCGCCATATTGAAGGGGGCCATTCTTATCGCCGTGTGGACCCCACACTGCCGCAGTGGACGGCCGTCGGTCCTCTCACGATCAGCGCGAGGATGCAGTGTCGTCACTCTCGCCTCCTCATGCCTCCTCAAAGATCCGCTTCGCGCCTCGCGTCGTCGTCTTTGCTCGTCACCGGCTACCACCGATCGAATTCCTCCACCCTCTTTGTCACCCACCACCTCCGCCTTCTTCACCGGCCACAGCTTTCCATGTGGATCAAAGCCTCATAAACAAAGAGCGGTTTTACTGGCTGATGAACCTGAAAAAAATAAAAATTAATCATATTAATCATATTAGAATCTAAAAATATACCATTTATTCTGCTTGTTATGTTATTATATTTTTCCCTTTATATATATAATATCTTTATGAAAAGTTATTGGAAGAGTGAAAAAAACTAATTAATGTAATTCTATCTTTTCAATCATACAGAGATAAAAATCATATATATATACATACTCCAAAATTTCGATATACATAGACAAGTAATATGATTTTTATCGCTTGTTTGATTGAAAAGGTAGAATTACATTCATTAGTTTTCTTCACTCTTCCAATAACTTTTCATAAAAACATTATTTTCTCTCTTACAAACATGCTTTAATTATACAGTGTTCGTTGATTGAATGCAAAATATTTTTGTTTCCTTTAAAATAAATCAACATTATCTATAATAAATCTTTTCATTTTTTGATATAAACATAAAATTTAATATTAATTTATAATTGTAGGTAATTATAAAAATACATATAAATAATTATTAAAAAAAATAAATTGCTAAACATTAATATAAAAATAGTAAGAATAAAGTTGTAAGATATTCTTTATACGCGCTGTTTTTTTAAAAATGCTAGCACTTAGTATCTAATTCAGGTTTGGCAATGATGACAAAAATATATGTCATATAAAAGAAGAAAAGTAAAAGCCGCGAACGACATATATAGAGTTCAAGGTCAACTTGCATTATATTGGCGAAGAGTTCCGGTAATACCGGACTTTGTATTCAATACTCAATTACCGTGCGTGAAAAGGAAAATAGTAGTAGCAACGATAGGATGGGAGAATAGTAAGAATAAAAAAAAACAAGAAAAGGAGCGAAAACTCGGAACAAAACTTTGGGGTTCATCGCGATAGTGGAAGGGTGTCGGGATAAGGTAGGACTGGAGAGAGGGTAAGAGGTTTTAGGATCAATACCATGCGTTTATCCGTCTCCTTCTCGCTTCCACCATCTTCGACTTCTGTTCTTCTCGTGCTCGAGAGACGCGATATAGCAGGGAAAAAGAGAGAGAGAGAGAGAGAGAGAGAGAGAGTGTGTGTGTCGACTGTCTCTTTTCGATACACTCTGTCTTTCGCTTTCGCTTTGGTAAGCTCTAAGGTCTGGTCGGTGTCTCGCCATTCTTCGATAAAACGAGAGGAACAAGGCAGAAGGGAGAAAAGACAGAGGGTGCCGCGTACGAGAAAGCGCGGGCACGAGGATCCGTAAGTAGGAACGAAATTCTAAAGTGCCGAAATGCAAAGAGATGGAAAAGAGCAAGAGTGTCAAAGAACGAAACAACGAAAGAAAGAGACGAAAGGAGAATAGAGAAGGAAAGAGAGAAAGGAAAAAAACAGAATGAGCAAGAGAGACGGTAGGCACTCTTTAGAAGTTCTTCTAAAGCGGGCAAAGACCTTCTCTCGCTTCTTCCCCTTCTCTCCGATTCTAGCCAGGTCAGCCAAGATGCATCCGCGAAATTGCAGACTTCAGTGAAACGCCGCAGCCGCCGCTGTTGCGACTCGGCTCGGCCCGGGTCGGTGCGCCAGGTAGCGCCTCTTAGCTCGGCTACCAACCGCTTGTGGTACCATTCGTTTTCTACTGTTGCCCGACGAGTGGTCTCGTCAAAAATTTAAGATGTCCTCCTTCTCCTCCGGCGCACCTCCTCGAGCCTCCTCCATCGTCCTTTCCGTTTCATCCCTTTCCACTTGAAAACGACTTCCTCTTCGGGCTACAAATGCGTAGTACTTTCTTTCATCCTGTCCGCTTTTTCATTTTTTTGATAAGACCCGCTAAAGAAATTGCCGAAAACAGCTTCACTTGCCTCAAGTAAAAGCACGAGAAAGAGAGAGAAGGACTGAAGTGGCGATGGAGAAGGATGGCTGCCCTGTAGGCGAGTATCTTTGAGAAGAGCCACTATTTTCCATTTTTTCCCCTTGCCCAATCTCCGCGTCTCATTGCCGGTACTTTTTACTTCCTTCGAAAAGCAGACGTAAACACGACGAGGATCGTTTCTCCCGCTAGCAGGTCGTCCACTCGGTAGGTGGTTGGCCACCTTCTTCAACGAGCAAAGGCCTCTCGCGTTTTTCTCTCTCCCTTTCTCTCTTCGTCTCGCTTCGCGTCCTCTTCCGGGCCAGACCTCTTTCCGCGTACCCGCCACCCAGGCAGGTAGGTACGCCAAATTGCAGATTTCGGGAGGCGGAGGAGGCCTCCCGACTCTCGAGTGGCTCGTGAAAATTTTAAGCCCTGCCTCTGTGCGATGCCGCGTCTCTTCCAACGAGTTTCGCGTCAAGCCGCGATACTCGCCCATCACAGGCTGGCGCGAGAGAGTGCGCCTCTGATACATACGTATACACAATGCCTCTCTTCGGCTTTCGGGGATATCTTTGAGTGCACTTGCCTCCTTTCAAGGTGAAAAGCTTTTCTCCTTCCTCCCCTCCTTGGCTTTCGTGACGTCGCGCTCTCGCGCTTCTATCCATCCGTCGCAAACCCTCCGACCACTCCTCCCGCACAACTCCGCGAAAAACTTTTGCCGCAGCCAGGTTTCTATCCAGATTAAGACGGTCCCTGGCGCTCTTTTACGGGGCTTACACCAAAGAAGTTTGTTATCCGAAAGACAGACTTTATCTCCGAAACATAATGGATGACAGTTTAATTGTCACGTTGTATGAAGATAAAAAATATCCAATCATGCATATAACGGAAACTCCGTCGTTCAATTTCTTTGTAATTAATTTTAGAACGATAACGGCTCTTTTAATTCGTAATAAGTCATAAAATTTTATAGAGAAATTTTTTACTTCCAGTAATCTTTCCGCACACGAAAAGTAAATAATAAAACATTCGGGCCTTGCGAAGGCTTCGCTTCGTAAGTGCTCGTATGATACAATCGGAACAATCTTAAATTTCAATTAACGGAATATAAGTTAAAGTTTATTCTCATATTTCTTACGAAACATGTAATTTTTTTATCTTTTCGCCGTCTAGATAAAGCATCAGAATAATTTCGCCGAGCAACGTGTAAGTTCTCGTTCATCTCCGTTTTCCTCTTCTTGTTCTTCACCGCTACTCGGGCGGGCTCTCGTCGTTCGATTCTTCTTGTTTCCAGCGTTTCGTCAGACTTTTCTCGTGCCGGTTCTCGTGACCGCCCCGGGACAAATTCTATTTCCGGTTGAATTTAAGACCCTCCGGAATACACGGATTTATTTCACCGGCATGCCGCGTGCGGACGAAGAGAGATAGAGAAGAAACGCGGGCGGGAGAGGAGCGACGCGGTTTTACTTCGAATCCAAAGAGGCTCGTAAACGTAACAAAGAAAAGACTCGGAAGGAGAAGCAGCGCAAGCATGAACGAAGAGCGGAGGAAACCTGCAAAGGGTGTAGGAGAAAAGAGAAGGTTCCTCGAAATTATTATACCTTGAACGATTGCCACTCTCGAGGCGATCCAGGCTCTATTATTTTTCCGAAACTACGTCTCTACTCGATCTTTCTTTTTTTTTACACTCTTGTTCCGTCTCATCTTTTACGATAGTAACGATCGTTCGGTTAACGAGTGACGGATAGACACAAGAAGCGAGACAACTTTCATCCTTGATAAATGAGAGAACATCGTCGTTAAGGCGGCCATCGCGTGATCAGGTCTATTTTTTTGAATCTTCGTCTACGATCTTCTTATCCGAGATTTTATTGCGTTGTGTTTGTAGCGATAAGAATTTTAAAACAACGCGCTTTGAAATCTTATTATGTCTTTTTTTCTTTTTTTCTTCCTTTGAACCTCTCCTTTGCTTAGTTTGATTAATTCCGTTATTTATTTTTTCTCTCTAGCTTAGGTCGCTTGTGTCTCTGTCTTGTCGATTTCAGAATCGCGCATTTACGCTGATAAGAATAGGAATAGAAAAAAAAGATTTTCTTTCAACACATCATCGCCGATACTTTTCTATCATAATCAAATTTTATAAACGTGATCCACGAAATATCGTTTGTAAATTATACTGTATAATAAATTAATTATTTTTCTTTTTCTACAAAATTATTATGTCGCGCGTTAAATATACGCAATTAAAAATAAATAAGATTTAATGTTGCTAGAATTTTGTCAATTGAATTATTTGCGCTCAAATTTATAAAATTGCTACGCTCGTATCGTGGGAATTAAATAATCGCGGAAGTTGCAGCGAGTATCGTATAGTGTGATTATGCGAACGAGTATAGATTTGCGAACGCAAACAAATCCACATATGTCGATATATAAAACCGCGAGGATTTCGCAATTCGCTCGGTCGTTTGTGCCAGGTGAAAGTGAGCCATGCGAGCTCCCGTAACGCTGCATCGAGCAAGATAGAGATCCGATCGACAGACGCAGCATATATCGATTCTCTCGTTAATGTTTAATTAAGATTTCGTAATCCGAATGCAGCGTCATATCACTATCGTGTAATCGAGAATCCATTATGCTCATCCGATCCTCGGGAGTTTCAATCGGATTTCTCCGACATATTATCGGAAAAATTTTTCATTCTCCCTCGCGCACGCGATAATGCATTCGTTTAATAGACAAAACATCCGGTTCTGTTCGTTATGACTGCGCGCGAAAACTGTTTGAAACGCATTGAAGAGATTTAAATGCTAAGATGGCACACACACACGCACACATATACACAGACGCTTGCGCGTGTGTGCGCTGAAGTTCGCATGATCCATAAATAGCTTTCGTGATTGAGGGTCGGAGAGATTATCTAAACGAACCATCCGCGTAAAGGAAACTGACGTTTACGCGAGCGCCTGAAATATAAGAAATAAGACTCGCCCCATTCATTAGCATTCCGCTATAATCAGCATTGGCATTCCTGATTACATACGTTTTTATACATACGTTTTCTCCTTACTAGCTTAGTCCGCTTCCTTATAGCACACACGATTATCTTTCAAATATAAATTTATTACGAGAAATCGTAATATAGAAAGAAATAATAAAAGGATAGATATATGTATATAATGAATAATGGAAAT